TAACGCTCCCAACGCGCAATGAGCAAGCCCTTCTATCTCTTTGTTTCTTGCTAGGTCATGAGATGGCTACCCTTTTTCCCTCTTTCTTTCGGAAATAGAGGAGCTCTCTCATTATGCATTAAAGGATTGAGGACTTCGTTCATTTCCATTTTTGAGTTCGTAGCGGAGCTCATTCATAACAGGAATCAGAGCTTTCTCATGTCCTATCTTGTTCGCTTCCCGTCCCTCTCTCTGCTTTGCCATTTCCGAACTTTTACATGAAAGCTCTTCTCAATGTCATTACAGGTCATAAGAAGCCTGCTCTATCTTCTTGCAGAAATTTCTGCCTACCTCTTAAGTGTGGAAAAGCTCCCTTTTATCACAACGGCAAGAGCCTGTTCATAAAGGCTATCGGAGCTCTATCATGTCCTGTCCTGTTCATTTCCCGTCAATAGGTAGAAAAGCTCACAGCTCTGCCACTTCCTGTCTTTTACATGAAAAAGCTCCTTCTCTCGCAATATGTCATTCAATGGGACATGAGCCAGGTCCTCTGTGCCGTTTTTCGAAAATAGCTTCTCTATCAATATGAAGAGGTCATGAGAGAAGCCGTTCATCGTTTCATAGGAAGCGCCAAAGCTCTTCTACCATTTGCCGAGGGATATCTCCGTTACCCTACAAGATGTTGTTGAAGGCCTGTCTCTATGCATGGAATGGGACCTGACATAACTCATACGTCTCTGTCGTTTACGTGCGAGAGTTTCGCTATCCTTTAGGGCGTCTAAAAACTCCTCCATCTCTTGATATACAGGCAGTGACAGAGCTTCCGTACCTTTTTTGCAAGAGTTCCTCCACTCTTCCTAACGCTCCCAACGCGCAATGAGCAAGCCCTTCTATCTTTTTGTTTCTTGCTAGGTCATGAGATGGCTACCCTTTTTCCCTCTTTCTTTCGGAAACAGAGGAGCTCTCTCATTATGCATTAAAGGATTGAGGACTTCGTTCATCTCCATTCTTGTGAGTTCGTAATGGAGCTCATTCATTTCCTGTTCCGACATACAAGAACTCAGTCATAAATAGTCATAACAGGAATCAAAGCTTTTTCATGTCCTATCTTGTTCATTTCCCGTCACTAGGTCGAGGAGCTTTCTCTTGGGAAACACAAAGCTCCTTTGCCCCTTACGAAGGAGCCTTTCTTCTGCTTGAAGAAATGCGGACAGGTTTTGCTTGCTCTTCGTAGGAAATGGAAGAGCTCCTCTACGTATCTGTATCTTCCCGATAACGAGACAGAGGACCTCATGTCCGAGAAAGAGATAGAGAAGATCCCTCGCTTCCGATAAATCTCATTCAGAGAGAATGCGATGTCCAAGAAAAGAGGGGTTCTTTCAGGTCCTATGGATTCTTAACTAAGTTCGTCGTAATTGATGCGGAATTCGAGGCTCACATATAAGCCATTCAAGACTCGAGCTCAGCCGCCTCAGAACAATCTAGCTTCGATTTCAGCCAACTTGGGCCCCGGAACTTAGGTCTTGACTCCGCGCAGGGCCAAGCGTGCAGAAATCGGACCTGCAAATCGAGCTCAAATACCTGCCAAACGCGTGCAAACTCCATTGGGAGAGAGAGGAGCTCCCTCATTGTGGGTTAAAATGGAATCACAGATAAAGGACATCGTTCCTTTTTGGCAAAAGACCTTTTCATTTCCTACACAGGAGTTCTTTCGCTTCCTATGAGAAGATAGAGGAGCTCTTTCATTTCGTACTCACAGACAGAACAACAAACTGACAAAATACATAGTGTCAGAGCTCTCTTACGTCTTATTTTTAGTTTTTGTCTATAGGTAGAGGAGTCCTGAGCTGTCCTATCGTTTACATGTAATTGAACTAAGTAATTAGTTCAATTAATTCAAGTAATTCATTTAACTCATTCAATTTTTCAACTGGCCTGGGAGCTGCCACCAGGGCTCCCGATTTAATTCATTCAATTCGGGGCCTAGGCCGCAGAACTAAATGAAATAATTGAAATAAATGCAGACCGCCCCAAACATATCCCAGGCCATTTAAAGAATTAAATGAGTTCAATGAACTAACTGAAATAGACGACTTAATTGATTATTTTTTCATTTAAGTCATTTAATTCGGGACCTTAATTGAAGTAATTAATTAGTTCAAAAAGTTCATGTAGTTCATTTCATTCGGGGCCTGGGCAGCAGAATTAAAAGAATCAAATGCCGACCGCTGTCAGAGCTCCCAGGCCATTTAAAAAGTTACAAGAATTAAATGAACTAATTGAAATAAATATTCAATTCATCAAATTCTGCGGCCCCAGCCGCGAATAAATTGAATTAATTGAATTCATTAATTAATTCATCAAATTCATTTAATTCTGCGGCCCCAGCCCCGAATTGAATTGATTAATTAGTTCAATTAATTCAATTATTTCTGTAAATGGCCTGGGAGCTGCTCCCAGGAGGCCGGATTTAATTCATTTAATTCGGGGCCTGGGCCGCAGAATTGAATGAATTAATGAAATAATTCACTTAATTCATTTAATTCGGAGCTCAAAGAGCGGAATCAAAAGAATTAAATGAATTAATAGGGCAGTGGCCAAATAGACCCCAAAGGCCCCTCTCACAAATAAATAAATAAATAAATAAATAAATATATATATATATATATATATATATATATGCTACACGCCCCCAAACGTACCTACCTATTTTGTGTGTTTTCCACCCCGAGAATCCGCACGTTGACTGTTTGTACGACATTATCAGTAATGATAGTCCAACCCAAACAATCTGCTGGGGTAGATACAAAACATACGTGCAAGTTTGTGTTCTTCTGCAGCACGAGACGCAGTTGTGTACGAATGCATGCCGTGTGTGAAAACTCAAGCGATGAGATGAAGAAAATGCAAGATCTAGGATCTAGGAAGTCCCTGAACAAATCGATTCTTGTTTAGTGAGGCATTTATAAAGAGAACGGAACACCTTTCGGAATTCTCCCTTTGCATACCCTATAGAATACCTTCTACAATACCTTGCATACAGTTCCACTCTTTTACCCTATATATACACCTTATAGAACACCAGCTGGAATACCGTGTAGAAGATGTACCATATACAAGAACACCTATATATGATCCCGCGTGGCATATATTACTATTTCCCTTAAAAGACTTTCATGTAGAATACCCTAATGAGAAACACGCTAATGCCTTATTGGATACTCTATAGCCTTTAGAATACCGTATAACACACTGTTCGTACCACCGTATATCTACCTTATAGAATACCTTATACAACAACTCCTGCGGAATACCTCATAGAATACCCTACCAAATACCTTATGAAAAACGTCGCACACCTCATGGAAGACCATCTGGAATACTTTCTAGGATACCTTGAGTATTAAGAAAACCTATATATGATAGCCCCCTTATACCGTGTACATACCCTCACACTCTAACTATATAATACCGTCTAGATAACTGTCGAATAAAGGATATGTATAAGGACAATCCCCCTATACAGCTGTAGCTTATTGGGTATGCGGCTTCTAAGAAAAAGTCAAGAATCGCAGAGCCTTGTCTGTAAAATACCTTTACAAAATATTCCTTCTACGAACCTGAAAAAGTTTCACACAGACTAACCCAGATAATACATAACAGAATACCCCCTATATACTTTATATGCACCTTATTGAATATCTTATAGTTTATAGGTTTCCTTATGGGATACGTTCTATAATACAACTATTACGCGTATTTTTATGCCTTGTAAAATTCCTGATACACCGCCTTATGGAGTACTATATAATATGCCCCGAGAAATGCATCGCATAATATGCCCTTTATAGACCTTATAGAATACCATCTGTAATACCCTACAGCCAACCTCATAGAAAAATCCCTGTGTCTGATACCCTCAGAATACCCCATAGAAAACTTTAACGACAACCCTATAGGATACCCTTGGAATGCACCAGAGAATGCCTTATAGTACATTTTACAAGGAAACAAGAGGTACATATTGAGCACATAGCAGGCTTCATCTGTAGTATTATTCTCCTGGTTGTCCCCTTACAAATAATATCATATGGAAAACCCTACAGAATAGAATACCCTGCAGAATACGTTGTCTGTATTGGATTCCAATGTTTTAAGCTCCATGCGTGCAGCTCTTATTGGTTTTTCCAATGTTTTGAGCTCCATGTGTGCAGCTTTTATTGGTTTTTCCAATGTTTTGAGCTCCATGTGTGCTGCGTTTATTGGTTTTTCCAATGTTTTGAGCTCCATGTGTGCTGCGTTTATCGGTTTTTCCAATGTTTCCGAGTTTCGGAAGCCGAAAACATTGGAAAAACCAATAAAAACCATAAAAACCATTACTTTCCAAACTATGTCCAGGGGCGACACCACCCCAGGGAGATAGTCTGAAAATCATGGCTTTTATGTGTTTTCTTAATGGTTTTTTCCAATGTTTCCGTGTTTTCAGAAGCTGAAAACATTGGAAAAACAATAAAAACCATAGAAACCATGACTTTCCAAACTATGTCCAGGCGCGACACCACCAGGGAGATAGTTTGAAAATCATGTTTTTTTGTTGTTTTTATTAGTTTTCCAATGTTTTGCGCTCCTTGTGAGCGTTTTTATTGGTTTATTCAAGGTGTTGACCTCCTTGCGTGCGTTTTTGCTGGTTTTTCCAACGTTTTGGAGTCCCTGTGTGCCACTGTTATTGGTTTTTTCCAATGTGTTAAACTCCTTGTGTGTTACTTTTTGGGTGTTTCTAATGTTGCTGAGCTCCGTACGTGGACAGGAGCAGGAAAAGGGTAGGTACATGGGGGGGGTACCATATATATATATATATATATGTATGTACTATACATACATATATAGCATATACTATATATGTACATATAATGATAATAGTAATATGTACTTGTATCGTATAAACTCGCCCCACCTTCCAGGGTACGGGAAAATCGCATCCACGTCGTCCTTTTGGTCTCCGCCTGTTGAGCAGCTAGTTTTCAAATTGGCCGTTCTGGGCTGTTTGGATTATTAGGGGTATGTGGTCTAGACTGTTTCAATCGATGTTCCTGGACTTGCTTCTCCATTTCTTCCAACTCCTCGTCGGATACCGAAGACTCGCCAGCACCTTGGCCACCCTGCAACTCCTGCTTGGCCTCCTGCTTCTGGGCCGGCTCCACTGCACGAACTTGCTCTCCGGGTGCCACTCCGGATGCTGATTGCACCGATCCCGATCCACTCCCGGCTGCAGTCACGACATTCATGAAGGCCGTAGCAGCAGCAGTGAAGTCCACAGTGCCCGGACGAAGGAGCTTGCTTCGTGTTTCGCTGGGCCCCTGGGAATTCATCGTTAAGCCCTGCATAAGCTGTGCGAGTTGCAATGCCAGCAGTTGATTGGGATCCTGGCACGGAAACGAACAAACCGTTTGAAAAGTAATATTGTAACAGGGAGAGAGAGAGAGAGAGAGAGAGAGAGAGAGAGAGAGAGAGAGAGAGAGAGTGTACCTGAAATGCAGCTCAGCTGCTTTCGGGGCAGGCTGTGTCAGCTGTGTGTTCTGCGGCACTGCAGTAGCTGGCGACACCTGCGGGTTCTGTGCAACATCGACGGACACCTCCTGCTGCGTACTCTGTGGCTGCAAGTTCTGTGCAATGTCGGGCTTCTCCTGCTGCGTACTCTGCGGCTGCAAGTTCTCTGCGATGTCGGGCTTCTCTTGCTGCGTCTCTGCGATCACGGGGTGCTGCTGCGTACTCTGTGGCTGCACGTTCTTTGCGATGTCGGGCTTCTCCTGCTGTGACACTGCAGCAGGTGGCTGCTGGGTGATCTGGATACCGGGCTGCATTCCCTGCCGCACTGACGGCGTCTCCTGCTGCTGTGCTTAACATTAAAACGGTAACGGGTTAAGGGGTTTAGGAGTTTAGGGGCTTGTAACGGGTTTTCTAGGGTTGGGATTGCTTCGGGTCGTGGTGATGCATGTCCTTCGCAAACTCCTCATCAATCTGGTCGAACAGTTGTTCCAGCTCTTTTTCCTAACATGGGTCACAGCCGGGTGTCCGGGGGTACAGCGAAAAATCTGCATTCCGAGGGTATCATGACGGCAAGCAAAGCGTCAACATCATCGTTCATTTGTGTATCCTGTTGGGTCTCCGGCTCCACAGCCTTATTAGCAAGGTCTTGTATGCACAAACCATGTCTGTACATGTATGGATGTATGTGTATGTATGTATGTGTATACATGTACATGTACAGTGTACATTAGTACACATACATCGTATACGTATATGTATATAGTACTGTACATATAATATTATAATAGTGATAATCAATATATATATATATATATATATATAATACAGTAATATCTATATAGCTATAGGTTCCTCAGGCCGTCGAACGCATGCACTGGAGAGCTACATTGCGGAACTGCCGGGCAGCGACGTGCAATTTCAGCATGTGAAGGGACACAGCGCACAAGAATGGAATGAGTGTGTGGACTGTGTGGCCAAGGCTTGCTCCTGGGGCTTACAGGACATTGCGGAGCCACCTGCCGAGGTTGTTACCACCTTTCTGTGCGCCGACCTGGCTTGCAACGGAGGCTGCGGCCTGCAAGACAGGGGCACTGCCCATCACTGCAGGGGTACTATCTTGGATCCCCGACACCCTCCAGGACTACACGCTTATGCCCAAGGACTTGATCCCGCTGACTGATGGACGTGCAGCCACGACGGCAGAGGAGAGGAGTTTCACTCTACACGCCGCCACCGTCAACATGCAGGGCATGGGAGGCCTACAGGCGTATGCGGATGCGCAGTTCCACGAGGCCGGGCTTCACTTGGTTTTGCAGGAGATCAAGGGCCGAGAAAGCCACGGCCTCAGCGAGCACTACTATCGACTGGAAACAGAGTCCAGCAAATACTGGGGGGTCGGGATTTGGCTCCACCGTAAATTTGGACTACTTCAGCGCGGCCGTGCCCCTCTCCTAACACAGGAGCGGGACCTGACAGTGTGGAACAAAGGCCCGCGTTTATTGGCCGTTGCAGTGAAGTGCAACGACCTCAAGATAGCCATCGTCACGGCCCACTGCCCTTTTCCCGGTGGTGCTGGTGGGCGCGACGATTTCCTGAAGGAGCTCGATGCTGTAATGTCCCGCGCGAAGACGGCGGACCTCGTCATCATTGGGATCGACCTGAACGGCAGGCTCCCCACAAGCAGCTGGCCAGCAACGGGCACACTTGACTTTGATGAGCCAGATGAGACTGGTCGCCTCATGTTCGAGCTCTTGGTCAATCATGGGTGTTGGGCCCCGTCCACTTTCAGTGAACTCCATACGGGCCCCTGTGGCACCCACGTCCACCTGCTTGGTGAAGAGAGTCGAATCGACTACATTTTCGTTCGAGGAAGAGCTGTCACCAGTCATGCTAACTGCTCGGTTGACCCCACCTTCGACACCGGGAGTCCCAGAGAGGACCACCGACTTGTCCGACTCAGTCTTAGTGGGGTGTTCAAGTCGGTTGGCCCGAGATCCAAGCTCTGGCGTCCCCGTTATGATGTTGAGAAGCTCCGTACCAAGGCGGGACGTGAGGCCTTTGGACGAGAGCTCGAGAAGTTCCCGCAACCCTCCTGGACGGTGCACCCAGATGAGCATTGCAAACGGGTTCAGGCTCACATCATTGACATCCTGGAGAGACGCTTCCCTCTTCAGGAACGAAAGGGAAGGGCCAGCTTTGTTGAAGACTCGGTCTGGCACCTGCAAGACGCCAAAAACCGCCTCAAAACCAGTACCGAACATGTCAAGCAAGGCTGGGGGCATCTACGGCGACGAGCTTTCATCCGATGGCGTCTTGGAGGGGACCCCAGTCTGGGACAGATCGCGAAAAAACAGCTGCTCCTCTATGGCATCCATGCGGCGGCGATCAAAGTTGCTACCAGCTGCATCAAGACCCGGATATCACAGACCAAGACTGCCTTCCTCAACAAGATAGTGACAGAGGGCCACCAAGGGGCGGCGGATATCCTGGCCAGGGCCAAGCGGGCTGGGATTGGTGGTAGTAGGACTCGACCAGTTAGAAGATCATTGCCTCTGTTGCTGGATCCAGTGTCCGGTGTCCCAGCAGAGCAAGCTGGGGACCACGACCGCATATGGCTAAATTTTTTCGGTGACCAGGAACATGGGCAGGTCACGGAGTGCTTACAGTGTGCCGACCATTGCCCGGATGCGGGTGAAGCGGAATGGACGCCGGAACTACTGCCATCCCTCCTCGACATTGAGGATACCATTCGGAGTGTCCCCAGAGGCAAAACGGCCGGCCTCGACGGCATACCGAGTGATGTCATGTCCGCCTGCCCGCCTCAATTGGCGCGAGTGCTACAGCCGCTCTACCTCAAGAGCCTACTCCTCGGGGTCCAACCAACCCAGTGGCTAGGAGGCCTGCTTTATGAGAGCTTCAAGGGCTCTGGGGCGCAGCACCTTGTCGAGAACCACCGGAGCCGGGGAAGGCCCTGCACAAGGTTGTCCGTTCGAAGGTACAAGGTGAGATCCATGATCTGCTTCATCAGATGCATTTTGGAAGCAAGAAAGCAGCCCCTGTGCTCTTCCCGGCTTTGTAAATCGCAAGCCACTTGAAGAGGTGTAAGCGCGAGAAGCTCAACGCGTCCATCCTGTTTGTCGACTCGAGGGCTGCTTACTATCGGTTGGTCCGTGAGCTGGCGACGGGACCAATTACGCAAGATGCTGTGGTTGTCCGCATCTTCCAGCACTTCGGCTTGGACGAGGACGACTTGGCCGAAATGATGGCACTGGTGGCGGATGGTGGTGTGATGGCCCACGCCCAAATACCGGACCCAATTCGGTGTGCCGCGCGAGACTTCCATCTCAAGACATGGTTCATTACTCGATACACCCAGGGTGATCTTGTGTGCCATGCCACGGCCGGGTGGAGACCTGGTGAAGCATGGGCCGACTCCATCTTCGCGTTCATCTACGCAAAGGTCCTCTGTCGTGTCCAAGAGCATCTCTCAGGAGAGGGAATCACATTCTCCCTGCCCGGCGCTCCCAAGGACGGCATCTTTGAACCGACTCACCGCGGCGTCATGCACGAAGCGGGTGACACTACATGGGCAGACGACTCGGCCTACCCTCTACAGGCCGACACCGCTGATGACCTTCTTCGACGGACCTCACGTCTGTGCTCGGTCGTGATCAGCACTTTCCGGGCCCACGGCCTTGACCCGAACCTAAAGCGGCACAAGACGAGTGTCGTCCTGCGTCTCAGTGGCAAAGGGGCGACCAAGGCCAGACGGCTTTACTTCTCGTCCGGAAAACCCGAGATCTAGCTCCAGGACCTGGCTGTTTCAGATCCTGTGGTGCAGTGCTACAAACACCTGGGCGGGATGCTAGATATGGCAGCGAAGTTCGGCCCGGAGATGAAGTATAGAGTTGCGAGGGCTTCGGCGGCCTTTGAGTCCTCAAAGAAACTTCTCCTCCAAAATAGGCATGTCCTGTTGCCTACTCGTGGCCAACTCTTCATGTCCATTGTGGGTTCTACGTACTTCAACCTGGCCCTCTGGACGCCGGAGGACCCACTTTGGCAGCAACTGTGTGATGGTTTCTCCAGGCAAGTACGGCGACTCCTGGGTAGAGACATCGAGGGGCCGTCCCTCTTCCACCTGCCCCTACCGCTCGGTCACTGGTTGTCAGGATGTTGGCCGCTTTCTTTGCTGGCAAAGAGGGCACAGCTTAGCCTGCTTGCGTCGCTTGCAAGGGCAGGGCCGCCGATGTTATGAGCTATGATTCAAGCCGAAAAGACTTGGGCGCGACAGCTGGTACTGGACTTGGCTTGGCTGGTGGATGACCAGGCTGACCAATGGCCGGCGGTGACCGCGTCTGCCTGGCCACAGTGGGTCCATCTCCTCAACCAGGCCCTACCACGCTTCAAAAGGCGAGTTAAAGGGCGGCTTGAGGCGGACTTTGCTGCATACAAAGCCCATCATGCCACGCTCCTTCGCCAGTGGGCCATGCAGCGGACACTTGAAACCACGAAGGATGAGTCCGCCGGCATGCCATGTTGGGGTTGCAGGATGTGCAATAAGCTTTTCGCAACCAAGGCGGCGTTGAGTGTGCACTTCTTTGCGGCCCACAAACGACGGGCCGAGTACCGGCGCTTGCTCAAGGGCACCGACTGCCGAGCCTGTGGCAAGGAGTTCTGGACAGCTGGCCGAATGGAGGATCACCTACGGGCCGCTACAGCTTGTGTCCAGAAGCTGGGTGCAATGCGACACTACGCTGAGCAAAATCAACCGGGATATGGTAGCAGACGGCGGCGAAAGGACGAGGCCGAAAACTACACCCCGGCTGCGCCTGTGCAAACGGGCGAGCCGCAGGCGGTTGAAGTGGGTGAAGCCTTCAACGAATGGGAGGCGGCACTCTACGCGACCCTCAGCGACGTCATTGTCGACGACCAGTTGCTGCATAACGCCGAAGCAATCCGCAGAGTGATTGAGGCGGCGTTTGTGGTCCACCCCATGTACCAGACGGAGATTGACCTGGTTGTCGAGCGCCTGTGCGGCGAGATCAGCGAGATCGGAGCCGACGAGGCGCTTGCCCAATGGAGTGCAGGACAGCAGACAGCCCTCTTGGAGGCGCTGACCGAAGCGCAAAAGAAGCGGGATCTTGGGCGATGGGACCGATGCGCCCCTGAGGCCGACTACATACCGCGGCTTTATGCTCCTGCTCGATGGCTACCCTTGGGACGATAGGATTGAAGCGCTCGGGAGGGAGAACGTGACCCCGGTCGAGGTGATCTATGAGATGGGAGCTAGCTGGGAAGCTGAATGGCGGCAACA